GTGAGAACTTCCATATGGCTCATCTATTACAGATGTAGACCAATGATTGGAAGGAAGTCCTGCTGTTCCAACATAAGAATCACCAACATTCTCAGGCCATTGCTTTAGAGTTTATCTCTATAGTGATGAAAACGGGCGTCTTCACGACCCCGGGAGGCTACGTTATCATTTTCTGTTTGTTTTTCTGTTTCTTTTCAGTTCATAATAAACGAACAAAGGCATGACGGCCCGATTCATCGGATCGTCATGAGGGGGAGAGTGGTCCACATGTTGTTAACTATCATCAAATCATTCTGAGACACTTCTCTCCTCCAACGCTCTCTCTACTATCTCCGCAATTCAAATGGTCAGCTACGCTCAAAAGTCAACCATCATTTTCCGCTGTGCCACCGACAAAGTCTCCTCAAAAGAATTCACCTCAAATAGTCAAAAGGACTACATTGTGGAGGAGACAAAGGTCAGATAATCAAACTCTGAAGATGAATTCCATGGGCGTCTGAAACTCATCAGAACTATCATTCTAGAGGCGTCACCGGACTTCATCCAAGCTGATCAAGAGCTATGTCTGGAAGGCAAAAATTACAAGAAAAAGATTCCTCAACCCTCAGCATCAAAGATCAAATTGCCAAGAAAACATCAAAGTGGAGATTGCGAGGATTTCTTCATAAAGCCTTCTCAAGAAGTCAAGTTCAAAGAAAAAGGAAGCTGAATAACAACAAAGACAAAGATATCTGCGCTGCAATGTTGATTCAACACGATTGAACACCAAGGGGGAGATTGTTGGGAATATTTTATGGTGTCCAATCTAGTTGGTTATCTTTGTATTTGTGTAGTAATTAATTAAACGAGTAACACGGGCCACAAATGTGTATCAGTCCGTTAGCTTCCTTGTAACCCGTAAGTTAGCCAACTTCTCCTATAAAAGGAGGCTAACTTACGGGAAACCTAACTATCAAGGCTTTAGAGTTGAGAGGCGTAGAGATAGAGAGATTAGGGTTTGCCGCTGCTCTCCTTCTCCAGGGAGAGCAGCGACCAGTTTACACGGTATACCAGATTCAGTTTTTCATCTCATAATCTTCTATCTGCTTCTTCATAACTGCTATGGTTGTTTGATTGTTTAGTATTTTGGGACTATCAGCACTGTCTAGTCAGAAATTGAAGACGCTGTCACCGTAGGATGACATCCCATTAAGATGAAGAGAACAACAGAAGAAAAAACCATCGCTGCAGAAAAAGATTGGCCGTTGCGCAAGTTATCCGTCTTTATTACGCATGGTAAAGTGGGGGGTAAAAGGGGAAACAAAAAAAAGTTTCCTTAAATAGTACTAAATAAGGCTTACGGATGAAAGAAAACCTACTAGGTCCTAATCTTGTAAACTTTGTATGATTTAGTCTTACCAACAACAATTTTCTCAAAGCTTTCACCTTGAACTTGGTTTTGTTATTCAAGTTTTTGGCAAATCAGTTAAAAATTTATCATCCATTCGACCGAATATATTATGACTCTTTTCTCTCTTTAAGGGGCACAGAGAGAGTAAATATAAAACAATTAAGCTATAGTAACCTGGATCATTTTTCTTCAAGGGGCAGAGAAAGTATCATTTGAAACTTATAGGTAAACAAATTTCTTGTAACATCATTAAAAAACACTCCATTTCATGACTAAACATATGAAAATCAAGGAAAAACTGTCAAATAAGTCCTCGTAGTATATAAAAAAGTCAATTAAGTGCTCGAACTAAAAAAACATCCAATTAGACCCATGAACTTAAAAAAACAGTCAATTGTGTAATTTAACATGTTAACAACCGGTTAGCCGGTTAGTATGTCTACATGGCCGGTCTGTGTCCAATTTCACTGTTTTGATTACTTTTTCATTTTTTCTTCGTTCATTTTGTCTTTGGCCCCACCTTTTTTCTTGTTTTTTCCTTTCTTGCCGCACAACCTATTTTTCTTTCTTTCTTCAGCCCCATAATCTTCAATTCCACCCCCAATCTATTATCTATCTATCTATTATAATTATAATATAATAGCAAAAGAAAACTTGTTCAGCAAGTTCCCGCCAAAATGGTCCATTCTAGAAGCATGGGTGAGTTTCACTGGAAAGTAGCTTTTTGATTAATTTACAAACAATTAAAAATTCATAAAACATGCATGGGGCCACATATACATTTGTAATGAATGAGCCCAAAATTAGTTTTTGGCCGTTCGTATTCCTAAAAGAAAGATTTCTGATTGGATGTATGGAGTATTAAACTAACTAAAACAAGGGCTGATCACCTGACTTCCCAAGGCAACATTTAATGTACAACTTGTCTTAGGGTACACAAGATGTACACAAATTGTACATCATATAAAACCCCAAAAATTACCATTCCATTTACCCCCTAGCTTCTTTCCTCATCTCTTTCCTCTCTTTGTTTCCCTCGCACTCCCCCTTCCTGTTACGTATTTTCGTACTCAAAGAATCGGTACAAAGGAGCACTGTTCACTGAAGCTCTTCTTCCTCTTATTCTCTTCACAGCTCGACGAAAAATGTGGACAAAGTAAGCGGAGTCTTGATGAATGGATTATAGTCCTGAGGAGATGACCTTCATCAGTAGTTACGACATGGGCGAGTTTGTGGGTTTTGAAGGAGACAAATCCGGTTCTGAACCTCCGACGACACAAGATGAAGGTGAGCCCAGTACGAAAGACGTACGAGATGGAGAGGAAAAGCTGATTCTGGACGTTGATGATGAAGAAGGTACATCGAACGTAATGTCTATGCACACAGACATTTGGATGTTTCAGCCCCTGTAGAACTGAATAACATTGTATTTGTATACTTTAACATCCATTTTGTGTTAATCTATGATTATGAATTCAAAGTATTGTATTTGATGTGTAATATTTTTCATGTAGTAAATGTTTGTATTCTATTGCCTGTGTACACTGACATTACGTAGTAAATGTTTGTGTTGCTATTGCCTATCCACAAACGTATATATGAGTTCTCATTATTTGTTATATATGGCTTCACTCAGATCCGGACAACACAAACGTAGATGGTGGTACCCCAGACGTCCGTGTAGAAGTTGGGATGTTGTTTTCGGGAAAAGATGATGCATATGATCACTACAAGAATTACGCAAAACGTATAGGTTTTCCCATTAGAATTAGGAGCTCAACGAAAGACAAACAAGGAAACATAACATGAATGTTAATCGAATGTGGCCGTACTGGAAATAGAGTTTCAAAGTCCACAAATTCTTTGTTGCTTGGACCTACTAGCGCAATAGGTTGCAAAGCCCGAATCAAAGTCATGTATGACTATGTAGGGTCATGGGTAATTTTGAAAGTGCATGAAGAGCATAACCACCCCATGAGTCCTACCAAAACTAGAGCTTTTCATTGTAATGAGAGATTGACTATGAACATGAGGAGAAAAATTGAAATAAATACTGTTGCTGGAATACCTCTTCACAAAACCTACACCTCCGCCGTATGAACAATAAGAGATTGACTATTGTAGGAACTACGTTGACAAGGTTCACCATTTGCGTTTAGGAAATGGTGATGCCATTGCAATTCAAAGTTTCTTTTGCAAAATGCAAGCGGAATTCAAAGTTTTTTCTTTGCTCTTGACGTAGACGAAGAATCGCACCTTCACAATGTATTTTGGGCGGACAAGCGGTGACGGTATGCTTATAGAGATTTTGGAGATGTGATAACTTTCGATACCACGTATCTCACCAATAAGTACGACATGCCCTTTGCACCTTTTGTTGGAGTAAACCACCATGGCCAATCTATGTTGTTCAGTTGCGGCCTAATTTCAAGTGAGGACACCAACACATTTGTGTGGTTGTTTACAAAGTGGCTTGAGTGTATGCATGGTTGTCCTCCAAGTGGAATTATTACTGATCAAGATAGGGCAATGCAAAATGCCATTCAATTAGTGTTCCCAAATACAAGACATCGATGGTGTCTATGGCATATAATGAAAAAGGTGTCTGAGAAGATGAGAGAGTTGACTGATAAAGATGAAGTTAGTGATTCTTTACATGATGTTGTTTACGACTCCCAAACAGGTGAAGAATTTGAGTTCGCATGGAGTTCAATGTTGCAAAGGTAAGCATTTTTTTATTACAAGTTGTGTTGAATACCACAACTATCATAATATGCATCGTTTGTAATGTGTAGGTTTCATCTAAATGACCATGAATGGCTACATGTGCTTAACAATGAAAGACATTGTTGGGTGCCATGCTACTTGAGGCCTACTTTTTGGGCAGGGATGTCAACGACCTACCGTAGTGAGAGCATTAACGCCTTTTTTGACGACTTTGTTCATTCAAAGACAAGTCTTTCACCAAAATGATACCTTGTGTGACTATATATGCTATGGAACATCAGTTGCAACAAATGTACACACTTGCAAAGTTCAAGGAGTTTCAAAGTGAAATGACCGGGAAGTTTTATTGTGACCTGTTAGGGAGTGAGGATCGTATACATTACAATATCCGTGAAGACAAAAAGGTGAATGGTTTTTACAAAACTGTCAATGTTGTGGTTGAGTATGATAGTAGCGTCCCAAAAGCCGTGTGCACGTGCCACTTATTTGAGTTTAGAGGGATTGTTTGTAAACACATCATCACAATCCTATTGCATAATGGAGTTAACGTCTTACCAGATTGTTATATCATGCAATGGTGGAGGAGAGATGTCAAAAGGGGATACACAAGAGTTAAAATTAACTATGACTAGTGAAACACCCGGGGCATGCCCCAGTTGTTTTTTAGACTTATTATTATCTTTTTATGAGCACATTAGTTTTTTTAGTGAGATAAACACATTAGTTGAAAAGGGTTTGTAGTATGTAAAGAAATAAAGTTATAGAGAAATGAAAATATTCATGTGCTAAGTATTATTGATGTTGTTTAAATGAAAATTACACATTTTGAAAGACCTCTTTGTACACAACATTCGTTGTTATATTGCAGCCTTCTCCACCCAACAAAATTTTCAACCCATTTCTGCTCTTGACTCTTGAAACGGCCACATATAGCTGCCCATGAGTGAATACCTTTTTTTCCAAGTAAAGTCCAACATGTGCTAATGTTTGGCCTTGCCTTTTGTTGATGCTCATCGCAAAACATACTAAAACGGGGAATTGTTTCCTCTGAAGTTTTATGTGCAATGTTGTATCTGTTGGGCATAAATTCATCCTTAGGATTAAAATTTTATTCCCTTTGCTTGGCCCGGTGAGGACTTTGTCTTCCAAAACACGTTTACCCAGTTTTGTTATCACTGCTCATGTTCCGTTACATAAACCTGCAGATTGATCAATGTTGCACAATAATATTACAGGGACACCGATTTTGAGGCTAAGCACTTGATTTGGCAATCCAGATATTGAAATACTATTTAAATATTCTTGAGGATATATGTCATCCTCTCCAGAACTACTTGCAGCAGTAGGACAAATGCTATCATAACTGAAATATTTTACTTCTTGTCCTGGTAGCATCGAAAGGATGTAATTGTTTATGCCCTCTACTATATCCAAAGTTGGTGCCAAGATCGCCCTCTCTTCCAAGTAGTCGAAATTTGATAGATTGTTTTGCAAGTCTGGATAAGTACTGTCAACAATGGCTTTGAAGTGATCCCCATTTGAGTGGATTAACAAATCATTTGGTATTTCAACTTCAATGCCTCTATCAGACTCCTTACCGATAGTGCCCTCGCCAATCTGTAATATCCACTTAGCAAATCGTTCAATTTCTTCCTTGTCTATTATGTTGGTGTGTTGCATTAACGTCATATTTATTGTGAGGTGCATGACTTGAACACAATCCCATAAGTATGATGAATTTATTGCCGACATGACAATTTCTTCACGTGTCCCTTTAGGGATTACTGGGAGTGTCTGTCTAAAATCTCCTCCAAGAACAACAATTTTTCCACCAAAGGGCAGCTCTTCATTCTTCGGATTTACTGCTGGACATATATCTCTTAGTGTCTTGTCAAGAGCCTCAAAGCAATACTTGTGAGTCATCGGCGCTTCATCCCAAATGATTAATTTCGTGGCTATTAATAACCTTGACTTCGGACTCCCTTGCTTGATATTACATGTTGAATTTTCAGCAATACTCAATGGGATCGAAAACCTGGAATGGGAGGTTCTACCACCGGGAAGCAGTAATGATGCGATGCCGCTTGAAGCAACCATAAGCAAAATTTGTCCTCTACTTCTCACAGATGCTGCCAATGTATTCCATAGGAACGTTTTTCCAGATCTGCCAAATCCCTGAACAAAATACACACCTGGTGTTTAAAGTTAATGGGTGATGTATGCGTAGTAAAGCTAACATTTTAACGAAAAACAGAAATACTGATTAAATGTATGCAGTTTCTTACCTCCATTATCTTCAGAGATTGCATTAATAACACAATCATAAATTTCTTTCTGTTCACTTGTTAACGATGGAAGTAACTGCATCAATTGTCTAGACAATTCTTCCTTGTCATAATGCATTTCTTCCTCTACCAATGCGTCAAGCGCTCTTTCATCATCTCCATGTTCTACGGCAGACATCCCTTCAAAGTGAGCCAATGTTCTTCCATTACGTTGTAGAATTTCTTCTATCTTTTGAAGTGCCTTGTTTTGAGCCTCACTCTCTTGAATATGTGCATACATTGTTGGAATGTATAGAAGCATTAGTCGTATATATTTAATTAAATATTTTAATGTGTAAAACTAATGTCACTTTTTAAAGTGAAAAATATTAAATCATTGAAAAAAGTGGAACATATTAATCTTACTTATTCTAGATGACACATATTATTGATTTGGGAGATGATAACTCAACCTTTCAACCGCCGGGGTTCTGTAATGAATATAAAAGCTCAATATCCTCCACATACCTTCTGCGGCACTAATATACCTGCAATCGCAATATACTTTGATCTCATCATGTACGCCAATGTTGCTCTCTGTTGCGTCCTTTTCATATAATGCAGCAGTAACACGGTCGTGTCCTTTTTTATAGATCTCGCCTTATAGCACCACTCGACATTTATGTGGGCACGGTACTTTCTAAGCAAGTACGGATTATATGACACAACGTATCTATTATCAACAGGTATTTTGTTCTTTTCTGCCGTGATACCAGTATTTCTTCTTCTATAGATTGGATAGCCATCTTTACGCACAGTAGTGCAGCGGTTAAAATTTCTTGGATAATATTTGGTACACTTTCCGTTTTCCATGCACTGTGCCTTCTTGTTTAGGTATCCACATGGTCCATGAATCATTGTGCTTTGCACCGCATTATATAGCTCATAGTCCAAATTCAGATCTGGGAAGTCAGCTGATATGACTTTGTCTATATCCTCACACTCTTTCAGTTTAAACTCTGGTTGTAAGAACAACACTATGTGGGCATGCGGTAATCCCCTTTTCTGAAATTCTATTGTGTAGACCACTACATATAAAATGTGACATATAGATAAATGAAATGGCTGAAGTATGCGTAAGTCAAGATCCATGTACACAAAATAATTAAGTAAAACATGAATTATTTAAAGAGAGGTTTCCTGAATTTCCAGCTGCGGAAATTATTCTAAAAGTTTTCAGATTTTAATTTAATGTATTTTACATTTTCACTTTTTTCATTATTTTGATTTGTATTTTTTATTTTAACATTTTTAAATTAGTTATCTTTTTTTCTTCATTTGAACGATTTTATATATTGTCATTACTTTATTTTTTCAAGTTTATACAAATTTTTATAAGATTTATCAATTTCTTAATTTAATTTTTGAAAAATAACATGTCAACTGCGGATATTATTTACTATTATTATTATTAATATTATTATTATTATTATTATTATTACTATTATTATTATTAGAAAAATGACAAATGTACGACTAAAATAAATGTAATTGAAAAAAAAGTGATTTTTATACTTTTGTGACTAAATTATAAAGTTATATCACCATGATTGACATGTGTACGTTAAACTTACATGCCTCTATTTAAAAAAACATTTCTTAAAATCAAAACTTACATGCTCTTGGATGACCAAATATCTTCTGATCTTTCAAATCAGCTATCAAATTGTTTAGCTTTATCTTAAAGACTCGTGTAACCAAATCAGGTCGATCCTCTGGTCTCACTCCTTCCTTTTTTACTTCTCTCTCTATTTCTGGCCATCTGGGATTGCATGTAAATGTGATGAACAAATACGGGTTTCCGAATTGTGTAACTATCGCCATAGCATCTTGGTAATTTTGTATCATATACCTCGCACCTCCTGTGAATGATGACGGTAAAATGATCCTTCTGCCTTGAGTTTGTGGGTTTGTTTCACCTCTTACAACCGCATCCGTCAACCCATTGTAAACATCTGCTCTTAGTTTTTTTTTATTTAGTCGAACATACTTCAAATGATCACTTTCTATCATCGTATAAGCATCAACAATAAATTGATGAAATAGTCTCCTTGATGATAGAATTGTACTGAATTCGACATCTCTTTGTTGAAGCCTATAGGCAAAGAATTATCCCATTGTCACATCTTTTCGTTTAATAGCATCTCTACCTTCAACTTGTCTATACTTGATCTCTAATCTATACCCATCTTCTCCATATGGAAATAGTATGGGATATTGCAAAGCCAAATATGAAGGGTGGAGCTCATTAATACGCTGCAAAGAACGATCTTTGTGCTCTAAATAATATCACGACGAGAAGACATACTATCCAAATCTCCAACAATAAGAACAACCACTTCAGATGCAGTGGGCAAATTATATGTTCTTCCATCTCTTTCACGGTTAGAAAGTAACATGAGTTTGAATTCTGGCTGTGGCACTTCTTTGAATCTATCCCTTGCAGAACGAAAGCACTTTGCTAACTCATTGTGTTGGTCCAACATATCCTTCAGGCCAATAACTATCTCTGGATCCAAATCATTCGACGATTCGGAAGTCCTGAATTTAGAGAGAATGCTATAGTTATTTTAAGTCACAATTAATTGTATTAAAATCAGAGAAGACATTCATTCATGTATACATTGAAGTGATTATATTGTAAATGATATCGTTTGTTAGAAATATTTATAAGCAGTAGTGGTTTTTACATAAATATCAGTATATTTAATTTCAGAAGTGTTTTTAAGGTTATTCAAGCCCATTTCATTAACTTTATTAACTATTTATTAAAGATAACAGAATATTCGGTGTAATTAATTAAATAAGTTGCCTGCCAAAAGTTAAAAATGGGATGCTTTCTTTTAATTTGGATTGAAATTTGTTGATCTGGTCTGATCTGATTAATAAAATGGTCCAAAAGAAAACATCCTCAATAAAAATTTATAAAGTAGAAAAATTATCCATATATTTGTGTGATTACTCAAACAGATAGTATAAAAAGATTATTCAAACGTGTGTCATTAAAGATAGAATATTTACCTAAGAAATCATGCATATAAAAGATATTCAAGCCCATTGTATTGCTGATATATGAAATTATATGTACTATTAGAAGACAATAAAGAAAGTGTGTTACAAACTTACTCTAATGCATGGAGTCTGTTTGGTATCTCATTCTCGGTGTCATAAATATAAAGTTGTGAGAACTTAGGTTTGTCAGAATCCATTGGTAGTAAGCTTCCCATCAAGTGATAGTTCTGACCATGCATCTTATATACATATGGTCCTCTAGAATTGTTGACTTCCTTTTGTACCTTGCCTCCCAAAGAAGTGAATGCAAACATCATATTGTATGCCCTAATGTTGTTAAGAAACTTTGCATTTCTTTTATCGCTGCCTTTGAACAGGTTTAAAAGAAAATCAGGTGGGTGTTGTAATAAAGGTAACTGAACCCGCCCTTGTTAACAACACATTGAAAATTTAGGATTGTTGGTGTTGACTTTTGGCGAAAGTCTCTCTCCATACCACATTTTGGAGTAGCAAATTGACATGTGCGGTCCATAGGTCCAATATCATGATATCCTATTCAAATATGCACATTTATTTTAACTAATGTGGAATATATGTTAATTACCTCAATAAAGTGTGATTGAGATAAATGTTAACTATACCAGGAAAGTTCGTAACATTTGACTGTGAATGCTGCGGTAACAATAAGAATTGATTTGGGATCAATGCTCTTGGCAAAATATATTTGTAATGATTTTGTCGAACTTCAAAAACGTGATATCCATTTAGTAAAAAATAAACAATTAAATGCTATAAGTAATCAAGTACTAATTATTTAAATTTTTGGATGACCTTACGATTGAAATTAATATTTGAATCATAAATTTGTTTTTTCGAAAAAATGGAATTGCTCTGACATGATTCCCGTTAGACCGACATGATATAAACGCTACCAGCTAAATATGTTTGTGAAGAGGTGATATTGAATAAGTTTTATCAATCAATCATAATATTGATATAATTATATTATGAGCCCGTGTGGTAACACGAAAATCGGCTAATTCAACTGATTCTGCTAAAATTTATGAAATTTTGGCTGGAGTGTCTGTACTGGCTGATTCTGCTGATTCAAGAAAAAAATATTTTTAAAATTTAATTTTTATTAATAAAATAATGAAAAAATTATTTGTAAAAATAGTTGAAATGGTCATCTATAGTAACTTCAGCCAATACAGCCAGAAAAGTAACTTCAACCTTACCTTTTCTTATTATTACACAATTCAACGCACGAAAATAAAAATTACGTGTTTGGTAAAAAAGTTGGCTGATAAGCCTGATATGCCGAAAAATAGTGTTACCAAAATGCCTCTATATAGATAAAAATATAAACTTTGATAACTACAAAAAAGAGATTTTAAGTTTTGATAACTACTGGAGTATTACTACAGTGCAATCATACGTTTTTTTATAAAAGAAATCTTCTGTTTTTTAAAAAGCAATCATACGTTTAACAAATACTCCATACAAAGTATCTACTCCGTAATAAATTACTCCCGCCAATTATTGTGGAGGCAAAAAGTCAACTTTATTTTTATTTTCTTTGTGCGCAGTACGGGAATAAAGGGGAAGGGAAAAAACGGCCTTGGGTACTGTTTAGTACCCTAAGAGAGACGGTAAATAAATAAAGGGCAGTAATGTAAATGACTAGCCAAAAAGTGCTTTTTCTTAAATGTAGTGCCCGGCCGAAAAGGGAGAAAAATCAGGGACGGGGAGTAAGTAAATTAGATATTTTCCACACTTGGACTTTTTCATTTTGCCGACCAGGAGTTTCAATTTGTCGATACAGAGAAGATGAACGAAACATGCTTACGCCTCCTACGTTTTTTGATTCTCCTAAAGTGAGAGGTGAAGGAAGAGGGGCGATGTGGTGAATATGGTGATGGTGAACAGCGAATTGCTCCAATTTATTATCGACTATTCAACATCTAGGTATGCCGTTTTTGTAGACCTTAATGAGGTTAATTTACGACTAATTTTAATGTAATTAAGCGATTGTGTATCTTCTTCAACTACAACATATGCACACAGTAAAATGCAATGAAAGAATTTCATGACCTTGTGTTGAAATTTGGTGTTGTTGACTCCTCCCTGTAGATGAGCAATTGGCCTCTGTAAAGGTGAATTTATTCAGAAATTAGTAACTGCAAATCATGGTAATATGAAATAAGTGTAATTTTCTGCGAAAATTAAATGACAAATAATGAATTTGTGCTTACTTTGTTCGTTCGATTTACTTGATTCGACTTCTTCATTCCTCTTGCGTTTTCTCTTTCCTCTCTCCATAACAACGCCGATAAATAGGCTGTTATGTGCATCTAAAAGGTAGGGGGAAATGCATTTAGTTCGATGGTTTGTTGGTTGTCGTTGTGTAACTGATATAGTATGAGAGTCTTTGCGACTGAGGGAACTTTGTGTCTTTGTTGAGCATTTGATCACTATCCTCATTAATTTTAATCCTCGTTAATTTTAAATTCATCAATACCAAAAATATTGGTGTTCATAATTTATAGGAGTTGTTTAAATAATAATAAAAGCTTTTTTTTACAGTATGGACTAAATATTGTACTCCTAGAAAGTAGTAACACTTCTCCAGCCAATAAAAGTTAAATAACTATATACTTATTTCAAAAAAACTAAAGAGCGTAGAGAAAATTTCATAAATATTGCTAGCAATATTGGTATTCTTAATTGATAGGAGTTGTTTAATTACATTTAGATCTGCATTTTTCCTTCCGTTCTTCTTGTGGCTAAGTGTTCCTTCTCCCAGGCGATAAGTTTTTTTAGTAGCTGAGTTTCTTTTGTTTTCCTTTCTGCAGCCATGTGCTGCTACATATCTGTCCCTTCATCTTGCTAGCAGCTTTCCTAATCTTCTACTCACGTTTTTAATATAAGAACAGGCTGCTAGATCTTCTATCCTCATTATTCCTCTTTGTTATGTTTCTCTTTTTGTTTTGTGTATTTTTAGAAACGCAGCCATGCTGGAATTGTGACACAAAATAAAGTACTATAATGGTTCATCTCTTTGAAACTGAAATTCAAGTTTGTATAGAAATTTAAGTGTTTTCATTCTGCAATTCCAGTTTTCAATTCCAGAAATTCCTCTGTATTAAGTCTAGCTGTTAACAAACTCTTAAAGGAAAATAAAGAAGAACTCACTTGGTGAACTCAAGAGCTTGTCCTATTGATACCATTTAAAGAGCAAAACTTTCCAACATGTAAATATTTAACTTCATGCACGCAGCACATACAAATTCAGAATAAGTCATTTGGACGGGGGAAAAATGTACTGCTTAGGGATCTAATTCAGACGTGTCATCAAACACAAATGTATCATTCAAGTTTCTTAGTTACATTGCATCGGGAATAAGATTGTAGAAAATACTCCCTCCATTCTTAAACAATCATTCATTGAAGTGAATAATGTGATTTTAAGTTCATAATTAAGTATGTTATAAACTGACAACCACACCCAAATTAATTTGTAGGTATTGACGCACAAAAGAGATAGAAATATGTGAGGCAACCTAGTCATTTTGTTGAGAAATACTGAGAAAGTAACACAACATAATAAAAATATGATAAATGTTGATGCTAAGATGTAAATAACTTAGAAATGAGAAGTAATTCAGCTAAAGTATGACTCATTAACATAATTATTATGCTTGAGCTTTAAGTTTTTTTTGAGCCTGTCCTTCCTCATCATCGTCCGCATATTCTTTCACTTGTTCTTGAATTTGTCTTTCCTGCCAAACATCGAAGAGTAAAACATGTAAATATTTAAGTGTATATGTGTGTGTGTGTGAAATGTATAAATTTGCATTAAAGAATTAATTTTATAGTTATATACCATAGTGTTTTCTACCAAAGTAAGTAAGATTGATGAGCTTTGAGTGAGGGTCGAAACAGCAAAACAATGATTTGTATACCCATTAGGAGGTGTTGTCTTCACAATAAATGCTACTTCATTCCATTCTAAGGATAAAAATTCATCTCGGAATGCGTCTCCTTTGTCCTCCTGTTGAAAAATGTACAATAGATTTTATTTGTGAATATTTGAATTATTTAAATTCTGAGTTGTGGATAACTATGTATATAAAAATATCAGCATTTATATGGTTACCATATTTCTGAACAGGTCTGCGCTAGATAGACCAATGAGTTGGATTCATAAAGTATGCAACACTAGAAGAGTCTTGAACCCTCAATTTGAGCTTATATCTGGTGACTAATGTACATTTGATTTTAATTTAAATGCATTATTAGCACAATAAGTGATTAGCATAATTAACTTGAAAATAAGAGAAAGGGTTCAACATTTTACCTCTTGAAAATCTTGATACTCTTAATTGCAATGATCACATTTATACTTGCCATCAACTAAACATACATTACAGACACATTTAGGGCATGCATTAAAGAACCAACCTTTATCTATTGAGACTCCTAATATAGTACCAACCACAAGGTGCTTTCTTGTCTGTAGAAATACACAATTAAAGTATCTCAAATAATATTCAGATACATTAATCTAAATTTTTGTAATAAAGTTTTGTTGCATTAGTAGTGTATAGTGGTAATTATTTACCTCTTCAATCTCAAGCAATTGGTTGATTGGTATTTTGTGATACTGGTGAAGAAAAATGTCCTCTTCAGATTTGGGAGGGTCGTTGCTTTGTATTAACCTCTCTGTTACTTTTGGAAATAATTTCTCAATTCTTAAGACAAAATAAACTTATGATTAGTGTACTGTATACACACATGTGAATTATAGATAATAAAATAAAATATTGTTTTAATACCTGTCACCAAATTCTGAAATCACTTTGTCGTCCTCTCTAAACTGAATTCTAGAGGCGTTAAACCAACTGGAAACTGAAATCTCGTCTATAATAAGTTGTTTTATAATCATTAATTATATTTTTGCAAATGGATTAAAAACTATATTGTAATCATAAATATAAATACCTTGTCAGTCTAATTATTCCAAAGCATAAACGAATCACAAAAGGAAATTCCTTCTTTGTTTCTTTATGTTGTTTGATTCTGCTATGTGCTTCCTCACCAAATCTTTCCCACAAATAACAGATAATCTGGGACCCTCTTTTGAGGGGCGAATGAAGCATGATCATAATGGAATAAAATATAATTTATTGAAAGATAAACAGGATATTTATATAAAATTAAAAATACTTAAAAAGACTTACACTTCATCTGCAAGGAATAATTTCAATCTGTTGTTTGTACCTCCAGCCCTGAGATTAACAGTCTGCATCTTCCGGTTTGTGACTTCCCCCATTATGCTAACATAATGATTTGGTTCACATTTTTTTAATAAAATGTCATCGAATTTAGCACATGGAAAATTAAAAGGTGATATTTTGAAATCATGTATTTCTTCAATAATTGTTGACTTAGTGAATAGAAGTTTGAAGCTATGGTTGCACAAACGGAAGCCATATACATTGCGCCTAACATCCGTTTGTTTGATGCTATAGCAATGCTTGCCGTAAAATGTCTTCTGGAATGAGGCATTAAAAAGATTGGATGGTATACTGCATTGTATGAACTGCCCCTGAAAATATATATTAAAAGTGTGATGAACAAAAGTGAGGATGTTTCTAAATGAACAAATATGAAAGAATTCTTCTAGATAGATGTGCAGGCGACTCTGCTTTCTATGTGTTACATGCTCAATTATCAGTAGATTAGACATTGAGAATAAGGTAATTGTATTTGTTTTTTGCAGGTGTTGTCAAACCAAAGTGATCAGTATGGCGTTTGAAAACAATCACTGATTTCTTTAGGGCAATCATCAACTTTATTCACATGTTTTTCGTTACTATGTTTTCGGTAATGCTGATATTATTGTGGTTATGTTTCAATATCTCATTCGCTTTCAGCATCTCCTATATTTCTGTTTTATATGCCTTGTAGATGGAAAAAACTGATGATTATAGAAAGGGGACTGGATCTAGCAAGAAGTGGGACGGTGGTGACCCTGGAGGTCCCGGCTCGTATGGATCTGGTCCACGTGGAGGACTGCCTCGTGGATTAGATAGTGTCAGAGGCATTGACCACAGTAAGTCCTTTTACACTAAGATTCATTTATTTAGTTGTTATTTATTTTGTGAGAATGGTATTTAAGTTTCTATAGACCATTGGTTTTTTAAACAAATACAATTAATTGATTTATCATAGTTATACTTGTAGATATCTATGATATTTGTGATGATCTCATTAGTTTTATCTAACATGTATTAATTTAAAATTTCATGATAATTTACCTCCTAATGATGTGGGTATTAAGACCGCAATTTCACATTATTTTTTTGTCATCAATAGATTTCAAAATTAAACCTGCAAATTGAAATGGTCCTAAAAATTTATATGGAATAATTCAATTATCATTATCATAAACTTAACTATAAGAAGGAATGTCGTTAAAAAATCTTTACAATCATAAAATGCTGTTCATAGATTCGGCTCTATGCAAACAATTTCAATTTTATTCAAGTTCAATTGTATTAAATAAAAACGTTTATTGTTTTCGAGAGTATATTTAAAACAAAAGCAAAAACATTTATGCCAACGATGTTTAGGGACATATAGATTCGGTTCAATAAAAACACACCTTTTCATCACTTAAAAGTAGCTCGTAAGAAATCAGTTGATCTAGATTAGATTGACGGACTTTATTCCACTGCGTGACTAGCCTTGCACGTAAAGACCAACTTTGCCTTTTATTTGAGATCTCTTCAATGCAATCATATTGCACCATGGAAGAAGGAGGAATCACCATTATTTTAGTATGAGAATTTTGTGATTATGATGTGGATGTTACTACGTTTTTGTTAAATATTTATAGGGGTTATGGAGGATGAAAGCAAGGAGAATTGTATTTCAACTGGGAAGGGTCTACGGTTAATTTGATCTGTAAGAGTTTTATTAAGAGTTCAACTCCTTTGTACTGCGATTAATTTGATCTGAGGTTATTTTGTGCATATTTTTTTGTTGGAGTACGACATGCCCTTTGTACCTTTTGTTGGAGTAAACCACAATGGCCAATCTATGTTGTTCGGTTGCGGCTTAATTTCAAGTGAGGACACCAACACATTTGTGTGGTTGTTTACAAAGTGGCTTGAGTGTATGCATGGTTGTCCTCCAAGTGGAATTATTACCGATCAAGATAGGGCAATGCAAAATGACATTCAATTAGTGTTCCCAAATACAAAACATCGGTGGTGTCTATGGCATATAATGAAAAAGGTGCCTGAGAAGATGGGAGGGTTGACTGATAAAGATGAAGTTAGTGCTTCTTTACATGATGTTGTTTACGACTCCCAAACAGGTGAAGAATTTGAGTTCACATGGAGTTCAATGTTGCAAAGGTAAGCATTTTTTTATTACAGGTTGTGTTGAATACCATAACCATCGTAATATGCATCGTTTGTAATGTGCAAGTTTCATCTAAATGACCATCGTCACACAAGGTATCATTTTGGTGAAAGACTTGTCTTTGAATGAACAAAGTCGTCAAAAAAGGCGTTAATGCTCTCACTACGTTGGGTCGTTGATATCCCTGCCCAAAAAGTAGGCCTCAAGTAGCATGGCACCCAACGATGTCTTTCATAATTGAGCATATATAACTTACAAAATAAGCATTCATATGAAAATCACAAGCTTTTCGATTAAGCATCAAAACATTTTCATTGAGCATCAAATATTTACTATTGAATATTAGAAACATGCAATTGAGTATATGGTTTGTGTTCCCGTATCTATAATCAACTCCTACATGAATCTAATGTAATATAGTGTTTTTGGAATATGCATTGACATAACATTTTAAAACGACCATAACACCAGTACATTCTTGTTTGCTCATTCCTTTCAAGTTTTAATTAAATCCCTCTTGTATACTCATTGAATTTAACATATGTAACAATATATTATTCAACACTTTGTACATTCCCTCTTTGAATTAAGAATCAATCACACTATATAAGTTTATATTTCTGTATTTTTTATTGATATAACATTTTAAAATGAGTATAAAACCAATACCAAATGAACATATGTAACTTACAAAATGAACATAACACCAATACAAAATTAGCATACATTACTTATCAAATGAGCAATTATATGAAAATCATAAGATTTGTTAGTTGAGTGCCAAGACATTTTTATTGTACATCAAACCTCTTTTGTTGAGTATCAGAAGCATGCAACTGAGTATCATAATTTCCGCTCTCATGTATACAATCTAACTCTTATGCGAATCTATTATGGTACTTTTGAAATATGCATTAATATGACATTTTAAAATGAGCATAAAACCAGTACTAGATGAATGTACAGAGCTTACAAAATGAGAATTGAAAAATTAAAAAGCTTGTTTGAATTCTCTAATGTGTTCACATGGTCATTTGTGCACATATAATGACAGATATAGTTATGAAAAACATAGTACGTTTTTTAATATTAAAAAATTTATATAAAGAAAAAAGAAATAGGAATTCAAAATTAGAGGATTCTCAATTCTAATTCAATTAGCAATATGGTATTACTCCCTCCGTCCACCTATAATTGTCCCATTTTTCCATTTTTGAATGTCCCTTTATTATTGTTTCATACCATAGTTGGTAACATTTGTGTGACTCTAATTCATTCTTACTTTATTTCCACTTTATCAACTCATTACCAACCACATAATTCTACTTTTCTTAAAAATCACACCACTCTCTTCCGTACCAATATTAGGGAGACGGAGGGAGTATTTCTTTATGCATTTTGTGAAGGCTGAGATTCTAAAATACGGAGTACAATTTAGTAAGCATTGAAGATAAATAACCCTCATAAATATTAAGGTCCAACAACTATAGTACTTTGGTAGAGAGAATTCCCCAAATGAGACTAAAACATAGTAGAAGTGCATAATTAGGACATTAAGTTTATTATTCCCTAAATAAGACTCTTTATTACTGATTAGACAAAATTGACCTTAATGAAATAAAACCCCCTACATCTGCACCGATGCACCTCCTGCGATCGATGCGCACCTCCTGCGATCGATGCGCACCTCCTGCGATCGATTCACCTCCTACGCCGACACCACCCACCCTTTTTTGCCAGCCACCATTGCCAAGACGTTGCCGCCGCTGCCCAACGAGGATGCCTCCACCACTGCCCAACGAGGACTCCGCCGGTGTTGCCGGCAAGACCGCCATTGCCGCTAAATTATCTCCTCGAGGTGTCGACATCTTCTCTGTTGCAGCTACCTCCTCTAGAGTGTATGTTATGAGATTTCTATATTGAATTCTGACATAATTATGTAAACATAAATGACATTTTAGAATTATAAATGTGAAATAAGAGAAGAAAAAGAAAAATGAAGAATGACAAGAAGTAATAATGTTGATAAACTCAATTTCTATTAATATTGATAACATGATAAAAATAGTGACAAAAACATGGCACTTTCAGTTTCAACATAGCATTTTCACAAAGTGAGTTGCATAAAAATGATACTATTTTGTCAAACGGGCTAAACATAGCATGTTCATATGAAACTATAAAATGACATATTATGTAATTTTCAATACACCTTCACAAAGTGAGTTGCATAAAAATGACACTATTTTGTCAAACATGCCAAAAGCATGTCATTTTGAGGTTAAACATAGCATTTTCATATGAAAGTATAAAATGACATATTATGTCATTTTAAGTACATCTTCACAAAGTGAGTTGCATAAAAATGACACCATTTTGTCTAACGGAGCAAAAACATGACATTCACAAATTTAATTTGAAAGTAATTTTGTCATTTTGATAGATGCAATAACGTACAAAAGTGACATTTTTCAAGGAAAAATTGATTGTAATAATCCCAACTATTGGCGATCCGCTTACAATAATCCCAACTATCGATTATCTCAGAATAATCCCAACTTTAGTGACCTTCCGCCAATAATGGTCCGACATAACCGGCTATAAATAAATTCCTATAGTTTCTAAAGTGGATGAGAAGAGATATAACAAGTAATCCCTATAAATAATTCAACTTTTAATTTTTACGCTATATTTCTATTTAAAATTCACTTGTTATAGCAGGTCATATCTGGTCATGGACCATTATTGGCGGAATGTCACTAAAGTTGGGATTATTCTGAGATAATCGATATTTGGGATTATTATAAGCGGACCGCCAATAGTTGAATTATTACAATCAATTTTTCCTTTTTTCAATTTACTTTCATAGCCAAGTCCAAATCAAGTTTACAGGTAGGGATCCTTCCTCTGTTTATTTCAGGGAAGCCACAAACCAGTAATGGCAATTTTTTTTTATTTCAAATCCAAATTCTACGATCTAATTTTTGTAGAATCTCAAAAGTAAGTATGCATTTAATTGGGGAAAATATTTCAAACATGAACAAAACAGAGCTAGATCAGCAAGGAAAGAACAGAGAAGAAGAAAAGAGAAGAGGAGAGGATATGAGAGCAGAGGAGAGGAGAAGAGATGGAGAAAATTACCTTGGTGTCGCTGGAGAAGAGCAGACGAGCGGCCTGGGCGTCTTCATCGCAAATAGCTGTTGGTATTCATCGCATATGGCCTGGGCATCTTCATCGCAGATGGCTTGGGGTCTTCATCGCGAATCGTTGTTGTACTGCATTTGTTGGAGCCGATAGCTATTTTGGGGTTTTATTAGATGAATGGTAAAAAAGTAATTGAGAGTCCTATTTAGGGAATGATAAACTTAATGTCCTATTGTGGAATTTTAACCATGTTTTAGTCCTATTTAGGACAATTATTTCTACTTTGGTATTGCAGCTTCTCCCACATTCAAAGTGCTCGACACTAGACACAGTTTTGACTTTCCAACTATCCTATCGCTATTTCGGCTATCAGCAACCGTCTGGAAAAGCTGAATCCCAGAGACCAAGGAGAACTAGAGAAGATGATGAATCGAGCCGTGGAGGATTGAACTAGACGGGAAGTTGGGCTGGAGAGATGGTCGCGGGATGATCTAGCAGTGAGGAGCGAAGGCCGGCAGATCCATTGATATAATCCAGCTTGAAGATGAACGTAATTTCAAAAATAACCGGCTGTACGGTGCTCACCGTACAACCATGCTCACCGTACATCCGATTGTACGGCGCTCACCGTACAGCCGGTTGTACGGTGTAATTTACGCAGCGTATATGGTACAGCCGGCTTTAAGGTGCAAGCCGTACAGTCGGTGGCAAACTTGTAATTTTGGTGAAAATCTCAGATTCACTTTAAATGAGCATTGAATCAATTTTGATGAGCATCGAGCCTATTCTTTTGATTATTAAGAGCCTATTGGTGAGCATCATTGATAATTAATCCAAAATGAGCATACATAACTTATAATTTAGTATTAAATAATTAAAAAGTTCATTTGTGTGTGCTCATTCATTTTGGGCGTTATACTCATTTGAGTTGAACATAAAACTCATTTCTAATGTGCTCAATATTCATTTGGATATGTTCATTTAAAATGAGTACTACACTAATATCAAATGAGTATACATAAATTACAAAATGAGCATTCATAAAATTCATTTGAAATGTCTACTATGCTCATAATTTCATTTATTATGCTCACATCTGAAGAATTGCATATAACTTAGATTTCTCTAACCTATGGCCAACAAGTGACCAAACTCACTCACCAAACTTAAGTAAGAAAAACATAAAAAGGAAGAGTAGTCAAAAGCAAGAAAGAGGGAGAAGAAGCAACTATGGCTATACACCAGGTGCTTCGCACGAGACGCCACTGAAGCCGGGGTCTGAGGTGCTGCGCTCGTGTGTGGAGTGTTGCGGATGTTGAGAATCGTCATCTGTGTGGGCGGCGAGCGAAGGACGAGCAACGAGAACGATCTGCGATGGAAGCCTGCGAGCTGCGATGGAAGACCTGCGACCTGCGATTTGGGAATTAAAAGACCGGTTGTACCGTGCGCACGGTACTGCCGATTGTATGATGAAATTTACCATCAATCTTTCTACTAATTACAAAAAATTGGGTGTATTTTTACACCCCGGTGTAGAATATATATTGCGAATAAACTATGTGCGATTCTTGAATGATAAAAAAAATTAAAACTCCCGATAAAAATAAAACTAGTACCGTTCTTATTTTTAATAGGAACGGAAAATATATTTTAATAGTTTAGTGTTTTTCTAGGTTTCACTAATTTTGTTAGTAGAATCAAACTGGTCCTAGACTGGTTTCGTAGCTAGTTTTAATCATATTGTTACATAAAATGATTTGAATTAATTATACATATATAATTAAAATAAAAGTTGTTTACAAAAAGTTTATAAATGTAATGATTATAAGGGTGTTTTCTTTTGACTTAAATATGCTGGTCTGGTCTGGTCTGGTTTTGTAAACTAAATATCTGGTCACTTTGTATTTTATAATATACGGTTGCACATAATGTCGCCGGCGCCGCCGGGTGTCGCCGCAGTCGTCCGCACTGTGCGGGACAACCGTGTGAAAGTCCCGTTTCATCCTGGACAAGCGCGTTCAGCTTCATCGCCTCCAAATTGGAAGAACACTTCGGTCTGGAATTTTGGGAGTCCTTCCCACTGGCGAACTCTATGGTTCCCTTTGCTCTGTCCAACGTCCGGGACCGTCCTTGCGGCCTGATCCTCACCAACGTCATTGAGGCGACTTTACCACCTCCGCCGCCGCAGGATGCTCTGTTTCTTGACGACACTCTGGTTTTCAACGCCGGCGATGTCTCACAATTTGCGGCCGCCCCTGCCCCATTTTTGCCGGCCGGATGGAGTTCTGGGAATGAGACGACTTATGCCCCGCGGCTGCAGCACCAGGATGCTCTGTTTCTTGACGGCACTCTGGTTTTCGACGCCGCCGATGCCTCACAATTTCCGGCCGCCCCTGCCTCATCTTTTCCGGCCGGATGGAGGTCTGGAATTGAGACGACTTATGCCCCGCGGCTGCAGCACCAGGATGCTCTGTTTGTGGACGGCGGTCTTGTTTTCAATAGCTTTGCCGATGACCCATATTTCCTGGCCGCCGTTTCCCCACCTTTGCCGGCAGAAGGTATGTCGGAGAATGAGATTTCAAGCATAAAGACAGAAGCTTTTGGTGGCGGAAAAGGCGAGGCTTGTAGTATCTGCTTAGATGATTTTAGGGGAGGGTCGGCGATCATATCTCTATCGCCATGTTCCCACAAATTTCACAAAGGCTGCATTGCGAAGTGGCTGCGGAGAAGAAGGACCTGTCCGATGTGCAGAACAATTGCCTTAGTTTCTTGAAACAAAACCAGAAAATATTCAATTAGTTTAACAGATTCTTATTCCAGGATTTTGTGAATCCTATTTTTTTGTAAAGCCTTGGCTGCAATATATATAGAGCTCTAATTTGCACTTTTGATGAGATTGTTAACTCAAATTATGATATATATTCTCAACTTATATACATATATATATTTTAATATGAACTGATCTCCATGTTTACTTATTTCGAGTATTCAACTGGTTTTGATAGTACTATGATAACAGGAAACTCTTCTCATTTTGTCTGCAGTTTCTTGTTCACATTTTGGAATTTGAAGTGTTTTTTGTTTGTTTTGCAATCCTTAAGTCTATATATCACCCTTAACCTTGTAGCAGTCATCACAAATATCAAAGACTACCTTAATCAGACAACATAAGTATATTTGGAAGATTTAGTAGTTAGTCTTAAACTATATAGATACTTATGCCACTTCATTTTTTTAGAAATTATATTGCAGCTCCATTTCAAAAAATACCTATAGGCTATAGATAGGAAAAGATTGGGGTTTTAGTTAACATAAATAAGTACCAATTAACAGCAACACAATGTAAACTTCTCATATATCGGAAGTTCTGTCTTAAATCATCTGTGTGTATAGTTTCTGTATTATTTTGCAAAATCAATTTTGTCACATTGAATTACTGTCAAACCATATGTATATATTGTGCAAAATAAAAGTCTAGTTTGTGTTAACTTATTGTGTATTTCACATATTGAAACTTAACGAAAAAGATAATGTGCATTGTGAGTTGGTATTGGTCCACCTCACTGGCCCAAGGTTCATCCCATTTAATGACCTGTCTGCTAATCTTATCCTCCTGGCCCGCTTGGGCTGTCCGCCTGACTTAGCCCACTTGCCTTCCTTTGTCTTTGCCCAAGCCCATGTCTCTGTGGCCCTTACCTTATATTGTCCGTTCCTTCTGGAATCCACTATTTGATCGTCCCCTTCCTCTCTCTATCCGATGAGAGGTCTTTCTGGTTACCCCAGTTCTAGAGTGAGAGAGTGCTGATATCATCTAGGGTTTGAGCTCCGGCTACCCTCCGGTGATACCTTTGGGGTCCTTCTGTGGGCTTCACTCTGTACTGGTAGTCTTGTGGGGGGTTTTCTTCTCCGGTGGGTTTTCTCTGGGCAGTCTGGTTTGGGAGGGTTGGGCACTATACTGAGTGTTTGAGACTAGATGCCCTCTGGTCTTCCCTTGTTGACTCCTTGGTGGTGAATGGTGAGCTAGCCCTTGGGCTATGGTGATTGAGGTCTGAGCCGGTCCAGTAACTCTACAGTGGTATCAGAGCTGGAAGCTGCCTCCTCTCACCGACGCCGGAGACTCGCCGGAAGAACTTCCCCAAAACTGGTAACGCCTAGGCTCCTCCTCGGATTGGTAAGTCGGGAAGTCTAATCTAGACTCCCGCTCAGGTATATTAGCTTAAACCCTATCTTGGGCTGCCGGAGTGCCACCGGCTTCTGTGTTGCATGGGTAGTTCTGAAACCCTAGGTTGAGGAGCTGCCGGTTAGAAACCCCAGTTCTTTTATCCGTTGCATGTGTAGATTCTGTCTAAGACAGGTCTGCAGAAACCCTAGGTTGTTGAACTAGTGCATGGGTGGTGCTAATCTGTGTCGAACTTAGCCCACAGTTGTCTGTAATATTATCTGAGCACCTTTGTGTTTTCTACTTGCTTGCCAGTCCTCTGTTGTTGTTGTTATCTACTTCCAGTATTGTTTTTTGTGTTGGTAATTTTTGATCCATTGTAATACTGTGGCTGTGAAACCCTAGTTGGCTAAGGCACCTGAGGTTAGGGCTAGGGGATTCCCTGCCAGCCACCTCTGTGGCCCCGGATCTGCGTGGTCCCTTAGTCCGCAGTCTAACCTTCTAGGGCTAGGCTCCTGCATTACAGTTGGCTCATTAATTGTGTGTGCTTGACTGTTATCATGACTTCAAACCAGTATGGTATGATGCCTTTTAATGGTAAGACTGACTTTGATATTTGGAAACAAAAACTAAAATGTGTGTTAATACAACAGAAAGTTCATAGAGCTATTACTGGGCAATACTTAGAAACTGAGGAAAAACCTAAACAAGTTGAAATGAATGAAATAGCCTGCTCAACCATATATTTAAACTTGTCTGACTCTGTCCTTAGAAAGGTTGGAGTCATTGAGTCTGCTAAAGACCTCTGGGATAAACTTGAGTCTCTATATACTGATACTTCCCTTCCTGGCAAACTGTTTTTGTTGGAAAAGTTTTTTAGGTTTAGGCTTGACCTAACAAAAGATATTGATGAAAACCTAGATATTTTTAACAAGCTAATCCAAAACATTAAGCAGGCTGGGGATAAACATATAGATGACTACACTGCCATAGTCTTATTAAATGTTATACCTGATTCCTATAATGATGTTAAGTCTGCCATAAAATATGGGAGGGATGATATAACCCTTGATATTGTTATTAATGGCCTGAGAAGTAAAGAACTTGACTTAAAACATTCTAGGAACCATCATAGGGAATCTGGGGAAGCTTTGGTTGTTAGGGAAAGATCTAAAAGTAGGTCTAAAAACCCTAAAAAGGACAATCAGGATAAGAATGGTAGACAACCTATCAAGAAGAGGCATAAGTCTAGGAAAAGGGTGTGCTATAACTGTGGGAACCCAGATCATTTCATAAAGGACTGTCCCCAACCCAAAAGAAATGAACAGGCCAACTCTGTGACTGATAAGGAAATTAGTGAAGAAGTGTTCATGATCTGTGATCATGCTAATTCTGCCCTAAGCAAATTAACTGAATTTGAATGGTTAATAGATTCAGGTTGTACCTACCACATGACTCCTTTTAAAAATCTGTTTGCTTCTTATAGTGCTTGTGATTCTGGTTATGTGTCCCTAGCTGACAATAAGAAGTGTAAGGTCCATGGTGTGGGTGACATAAGTCTTAAGTTTGAAAATGGAACTGTTTTCAAATTAAAATATGTTAGACATGTCCCTGATCTTAGACACAACCTGCTTTCTGTTTCTGTTTTTGAAGAATGTGGTCTTGAGGGTAAATGGGGAAATGGGTGTATGAAGATTTTGAAAAACTCCCTTGTGTTGTTTAAAGCCTTGAAACAAAATAACCTTTATGTTGTACATGCCAAACCTTTTTCTGAAAATGCTAATGCTGTACTCAGTGAAAAGTCTGTGCTTTGGCACCAAAGACTGGGTCACATGAGTAATAAAGGATTGAATATTTTGAAATCAAACTGGATGTAAGGTTAAAACCCTTAGAACTGACAATGGCTTAGAATTCTGCAATAAGGATATGGATAGGTTGTGTGTTGAGAGTGGGATTAGGAGACACAAAACTGTGCCCTATACTCCCCAACAGAATGGCTTAGCTGAGAGAATGAATAGGACCATCCTAGACAAAGTTAGGAGCATGCTTGCCACTTCTGGCCTCCCCAAGAAGTTTTGGGGAGAAGCTGTCAATACTGCCACCTACCTGATAAACAGATCCCCCTCTGTACCTTTAGAAGGTAAGTGTCCTGAGTCTGTCTTCTCTAAGAAACCCCTGGACTTGTCAAACTTAAAAGTGTTTGGGTGTGCTGCCTATGTACATCAACAGTCTGATAAGTTGGACCCTAGGTCTAAGAAATGCATTTTCTTAGGATATCCTGAAGGTGTTAAAGGATATAGGATCTGGGATAGGAACCAGAGTGGTTTTAAGGTCATTATAAGCAGAAATGTTGTGTTCAATGAAAATGACTTTCCCTGCTTAGTTCAAAATGTGACTGACCCTCAAACTGTGCATGATGGCACCTCTCCTAGTGAGGTGGAGCCCATCCAGACCACTGCTGTCCCTTTGGTGAATGAGTCTAGTACTCCTGATTTGACCAACACTATGCATCACACCCACTCCACCTCTAGTGAGGTGGAGCAGCCCAGTAGTAATGATGAAAATTTGCATGATGTGATTGTTCAATCTGATTTTGCTGATAATGAAGAACTTGGAGAAATCCAAGTTGAGAATGAGAGTCTAGATGATTATGTGTTAGCCAGAGATAGGACTAGAAGAAACATTAAGAGGATTTCTAATAGTATGACTGACTATGCTTTTCACCTGTATGATACTTCATTATTTGCTTTCTCTGTCTTTGAAACTCTTGAGTTGAATGATCCTAAAACCTACCAGGAAGCCCTTGCCTCTAGAGAATCTAAAAATTGGCTATGTGCTATGCAAAGTGAGATAGAATCTCTTAAGTTGAATAAAACCTGGACCCTAGTTCCTAGGACTCCTAATTGTTCTGTTGTTGAGTGCAAATGGCTTTTCAAAGTTAAAGAATAACCAAATGACATTAGGTTTAAAGCTAGGTTAGTGGCAAAAGGTTTCACTCAAAAGGAAGGGGTAGACTATGCTGAAATTTTTGCTCCAGTAGTAAAATTCACAACAATTAGGATGATGCTTGCCCTAGTTGCCCATAATGACTGGGAGATGAAGCAGATGGATGTTACCACTGCTTTCCTTCATGGTGAACTAGATAAACAGATTTTCATGAGCCAACCTGAGGGTTTTATTGACCCTAAGTACCCCAGACATGTCTGTCTACTTAGGAAGGCCCTCTATGGCCTGAAACAGTCTCCCAGACAATGGAATATCAAGTTTGACCAGTGTATGTCTTCCCTGAGTTTCAAAAGGTCTGATTCTGACCCTTGTTTGTATTTTAAGAATACTGCTGCTGTACCTGTTTTCTTGTTAATCTATGTTGATGACATGCTTATCATTAGCCCCTCTGTGAATGCTATTAAGATAGTTCAAAAGTGCCTTTGTGAAAACTTTGCTATGAAAGATCTTGGAGATGCTAAGAGAATCCTAGGGATTAATATTCTTAGGGATAGGAGTAGGTGTACCCTTACCCTGAACCAAACCTCCTATCTTGAAAAGGTCTTGAAAAAGTTCAAAATTGACTCTGCCCAACCTGTGAATATTCCCTTAGCACCCCATTTTGTGCTAAGCAAGGATCAGTCCCCAAGGACTGCTCCTGAGATAGATAGGATGAAGGCTGTACCCTATTCCAGTGCTATAGGGTCAGTCATGTATCTCATGGTAAGCACAAGGCCTGATATAGCCTATGATGTTAGTTGCTTAAGTAGATATATGGCAAACCCTGGTATGTCTCACTGGACTGCCCTTAAATGGCTCCTTAGATACCTTAGGGGTACACCTTCTCATGGTCTTGTTTTTTCTAAAACTGAAACTGGCATTTTACTTACTGGCTATGTTGACTCCAATTATGCAAATGATAGGGACAATAGAAAGTCTACTACTTCCTACATTTTTACTCTTTGTGGTTCCTGCATAAGTTGGAAATCTCAACTTCAACCTATTGTTGCACTGTCCACTACTGAATCTGAATACGTGGCAGCCACTGAGGCCTTTAAAGAGGCTATTTGGCTTAAACGAATGCTAACTGAAATTGGTTTTCTTAAGCAGGTTGTGACAGTGTACTCTGATAGTCAGTCTGCTATCCAATTATGCAAGAATCCTGTATTCCATGACAGGACCAAGCATATTGATGTCAGGTTCCATTTTATTAGGAATATTGTGGATGCAGGTTGGATAAAGCTGTCCAAGATACCTTCAGAATTGAACCCTGCAGATATGGGGACTAAATGTCTCAATTTTGAAAAACTTTTGTCTTGTAAACGAACTCTTAATTTAGACTGTGGCTAGATAAGAACAGATACAAAACCGGCGATGATGATACTCCCATTCACGTTGTGCTCTACACCACCAGGGGGACCAATAAGGTGGAGATTGTGAGTTGGTATTGGTCCACCTCACTGGCCCAAGGTCCATCCCATTTAATGACCTGTCTGCTAATCTTATCCTCCTGGCCCGCTTGGGCTGTCCGCCTGACTTAGCCCGCTTGCCTTCCTTTGTCTTTGCCCAAGCCCATGTCTCTGTGGCCCTTACCTTATATTGTCCGTTCCTTCTGGAATCCACTATTTGATCGTCCCCTTCCTCTCTCTATCCGATGAGAGGTCTTTCCGGTTACCCCAGTTCTAGAGTGAGAGAGTGCTGGTATCATCTAGGGTTTGAGCTCCGGCTACCCTCCGGTGATACCTTTGGGGTCCTTCTGTGGGCTTCACTCTGTACTGGTAGTCTTGTGGGGGGTTTTCTTCTCCGGTGGGTTTTCTCTGGGCAGTCTGGTTTGGGAGGGTTGGGCACTATACTGAGTGTTTGAGACTAGATGCCCTCTGGTCTTCCCTTGTTGACTCCTTGGTGGTGAATGGTGAGCTAGCCCTTGGGCTATGGTGATTGAGGTCTGAGCCGGTCCAGTAACTCTACATGCATAATGCTATCAATATTTCTAGCCTATAAAGAAATGTTACTAAATTGAAGTTGTAACTATATAAAAATCACATAAAATAGCATATTTCAGTGTTCAGTGTCGATCGGTGTGTCATTAAGTCATGTATACTTTGACATTAAAAGAGTGCTTATAGCCAACAAATTCAAATTCTATTAAATTCTGCTAAGTTTTTGTTAAATGTAAAATTTTGCTAAGCTTTAGAATTGGATAATGCAAGTTGAGTTCTACAAATATTTTTTCCTTACCTATGCTTTCTATTCTACTACATTGTTTGGACTTCGGTTTCTCGTGACATGCATAAAACTACTAAACGCTTAAACACAAAGTTTCACGCAGTGGAATAAGAAAGTTCCTTCTTATGAAGGTATAATCATTTAAGTAGCAATTGTATACATAATTTTAATCATTTGTCAAAAAAGAAGAAGGTAAAATCATTAATTAGCGATTTTATACATAATTTTAATAACAGTTTAAAAAAATGTTATTAAAATAGAAAGAAAATAGATAAGTTAGAATTTTTATATTAAGGTTGGTTAAACATAATTTTATTTATGTATATGAAGCGTATAGAAAACTATGAATTATAAAATTTTAAATGGTTTGATTGGTTGTATAGATCAAAATTTTTAATTGCAACTATAATTACCCTTGCTTGTATGGATATCTAAATAAAATGTATTGGTCTAATTTTGAAGCATTACCTGGGACGGAGATAGTACATTATTAAATTGCACTACAATTGTTGTGAGGGTGAATTTTTTTCAAAAAAGGAATGAGACAATTATTTTCATACAACTGAATAAAAAAAATGGAGCAACTATTTTGAGTAGGGGAGTATGAAATGAAATTTTTGGATAAAAATGTGACTAAATTTTTTATGTATATATTTTCATGGTCACAACAATATACAATTTGAACACAATTGTAATCACTTGAAGTTATCAAGTCACTTTTTCGTTCACCTTGATTATTTTAATAATATATTAGGACTTAATTTTAAATATTATTGGTATATTATTTTTATATTTAATTTTTTTGGAAGAATTCGGCTTATATTAATAACAGATAAATCAGATTATGAGTCAAATGACAAAAAGAAATCTGACAACCGCTATCTCGTGAACCAGACTCGGAATTAATCACCTCCAAAGAAGCAATATAATTCATTGATCCAAAACTGGGAAACTTAAAAGCATAAACGGTCACCATATTACTCTCATCCCCCACATCCAAAATCAACATCTTACAAACAAGAACACAAAAGAAAAAGAAAACAGCAAAGCAGAAATAACAATATCTGAAACATCAAACAAAACAAAAATAAAAGCTTCTGATGCAGCCAGAAAACTCAAATCGTCCCTCGGACCTGCGGCCTCCCATCTTCCGTCAGCGGCTTCGGCGGGCTTAAGGAGCAAAGCCCGCCTCCTCCCCGTTTTTTGTCCCATCCAAAGCTATAACATCCTCTTCTTGTTCCTTCTCTGTCCGGGTCTCCCTGATCTTCCTTCTCTTCGAAACCTCTTCTTTTCACTCCTCCCCACCTCCTTTAGTAAAGCTTTGGGCTGATTCAGTCGTTACATCTTTCCCCTTTTCACCAATCTTGTCTTCTAATTTCTGTGCCTCTATATATCCACCTGATATGCCAAAGCTCGATGAACCCTCCAGAAGCCATTTATGACCTCCTGTAGGACTGGTTTTCACCCCACTTCCTGCTCTAAGATGGATCCCAAATCTTTTTCCAAAACTAAGCCTTCTTCATAATTTAAGGGACAAAAATTATCTAAATGTCCCATAAATCCACAGATAAAACAAAAGTTGGTAGCCTTTCATATTTAAAATCTACCCAAAAACTTTTGCCACCTTTTTTCAGATTTGTCCCTTTCTTCAATGATTTGTCCATCTTCAGAAGGACCCTAATCCGCATATATGGCTCTAATTTATCACTCTTCTGAATGTCATCATATTTAATAAATTGCCCTATGAAATTTCCCACACGTCTGGCAGCACCCAGTTTAACAAGACTATAGGGAACATTATGAATCTGAACCCAAAACTCCGTCTCGTTTAAAATAATTCTGTGTGGGATATCATCATGCATAACTTCTTTTAACATCACAAGACTGCGTTCAAATTTCCATGGACCCCCCTCAAGAACACGCATCATATCAAAGTGATGAAAGAAAGTAAACATATACCTTTTTCCCCGATCTCCTTAACCGCCATACCCTTCCCCGGCCTCCACAATGATAGCATCATCTCCTTAATGTCCGAAAATTTAACCTTCCTATAAGTTAATACCTGGCCAATCACCGGGAAATCTTTAGGACCTGTCTTGGCCGGAACTTCCTCAGCATCAAGATCATCAAGATCAAGCTCCTCCGGATCTGTACTGATCGACATCTGCTTGTAGCTATCAACAAAAGCTTCCATGTGCTCCTACTCCACCGCACTGCTGCTGCTTTGTATTCGGCCTTCGATCACTGCTCGCCCAAATCCTCTGTCTAAAAACACCAACCATCATCCTTAACCACCAATAACCCGACCTGCCACCGCCTCCACCCACCAATTCGTCCAACCCAATCACCTCTCCCTCCAACCAATCCCACACGCCCCTCGGAATAACCGAGGGTGGACAAGCAAGCCTAGGAGTTGCGTGAGGCAACCCTATAGAGAGATTATCAACTCCACAAAATCACAAATTTTAACAAAAAAACAAAGATCTTATGGCAAAAGTACTACGCATATCATATACAGAGTAAATTTAAAATCAAAAAAGGTAAAGAAAAAAGAAATTGAATCTGTATATTATTTTTGTTTGTAACACAATAAAACAAATGTTGATTTTATATTAAAGGTAATTGTTTCCGGTTTTTTACTGGTCCGGATTATTTTGGGCATCATTGGTATTCCCAAATTTTGAGTTGGGTCGTGATATTTTTAATTGGGCCATCCAAAAAGAAAGAACCCGATTCGATAAGATCTTTTGAATCGGGTCAGAGTCATTTTCTGGATTCCGGTTCGATCCCCACCCCAACAGTACTCGGCGTTTGCAGCATGCGCCATTTAGTACTAACCATTTCATTTCTTTAGCACCCCTAAAACCTCTTAAAAACCTCTTCATTTCTCCTACGCCCGAATCCAACTGCCCTAATAATGTCCCTTTCGCTCTCTTCTTCCTCAACCCTGTTCTTTCCTTTAATCCCTACTGTAAGCGATTTTAGGTTCTTTCTCCTTAAATCGTGATATCTTCTTGAGTATGCATATTTACTATAATTATTGTATTTTAAATTTGCTCTCAAGAATTTAATGGAAAGCCAAATTACGTACCGTTGTGGAGGAGCAACGTGAATGTAAGATTGGAGGTGAGCGCACGGGCTAAGCGAATAGTTTACGGAAGAGAGTGCAGAGAGGGGTTGCTAATTGGAATCAACAAACTTGCTGATGCCGTTTCTATCACTATAGGGCCTAAAGGTTAAATGGGCTTTCATCCCATTTAACCTTTAAGTACGACATGCCCTTTGCACCTTTTGTTGGAGTAAACCACCATGGCTAATCTATGTTGTTCGGTTGCGGCTTAATTTCAAGTGAGGACACCAACACATTTGTGTGGTTGTTTACAAAGTGGCTTGAGTGTATGAATGGTTGTCCTCCGAGTGGAATTATTACCGATCAAGATAGGGCAATGTAAAACGCCATTCAATTAGTGTTCCCAAATACAAGACATCGGTGGTGTCTATGGCATATAATGAAAAAGGTTCTTGAGAAGATGGGAGGGTTGACTGATAAAGATGAAGTTAGTGCTTCTTTATATGATGTTGTTTACGAATCCCAAACAGGTGAAGAATTTGAGTTCGCATGGAGTTCAATGTTGCAAAGGTAAGCATTTTTTTATTACAAGTTGTGTTGAATACCACAACTATCGTACTATGCATCGTTTGTAATGTGCAGGTTTCATCTACATGACCATGAATGACTACATATGCTTTACAATGAAAGACATCGTTGGGTGCCATGCTACTTGAGGCCTACTTTTTGGGCAGGGAAGTCAACGACCCAACGTAGTGAGAGCATTAACGCCTTTTTTGACGACTTTGTTCATTCAAAGACAAGTCTTTCACCAAAATGATACCTTGTGTGACTATATATGCTATGGAACATCAGCTGCAACAAATGTACACACTTGCAAAGTTCAAGGAGTTTCAAAGTGAAATGACCGGGAAGTTGTATTGTGACCTGTTAGGGAGTGAGGATCGTATACATTACAATATCCGTAAAGACAAAAAGGTGAATGGTTTTTACAAAACTGTCAATGTTGTGGTTGAGTACGATAGTAGCGTCCCAAAAGCCGTGTGCACGTGCCACTTATTTGAGTTTAGAGGGATCGTTTGTAATCACATCATCACATTCCTATTACGTAACGGAGTTAACGTCTTACCAAATTGTTATATCATGCAAAGGTGGAGGAGAGATGTCAAAAGGGCATACACAAGAGTTAAAATGAACTATGATGGTTGGATTACTACTAAAGAACAACAACGGTTTTGTGACACTCAAAAAATTTAAATAAAAATAAAAATAATTTTTATTAGTCAGATAAAATTTTATGGAAATAACATTTTATTATTAAGTGAGTCAAACAAAAATTCAACAGTTGTGACATTCTAACCAGATAAAATTTTCAAATTTACGACGTTTTAGTTAGATAAAAACACTTCAATAATAGAAGTGACAATTCTTTAATTATGGAAGTGACGTTTAAAAATAATAATAATAATAATAATAATAATAATACAAGTAATAGAATAAACTACATAAGAGGACTTGAAATCTAAATACTACCAAGATGCGTATTAGTATATAACTACATGTATATGTAATAATAATAGTAAACTTCGAACGAGGCAGCTGTTTTAAGCCCAAAGGGCAGATAAAAACGAAGCACCTAAACCCTAGCTGCGCAAATACCCACACACATGACCTTACTATATATATATATATATATATATATATATATATATATATATATATATATATATATATATATATATATATATATATTAACCTATGACCTGCGCAAAACAGAGAAACGAAACAAAGTCGGAGAAGAGAGAACGATTAAGGGAGTTGCATATCAGCGTAACCTCGCGTTTTCGT